CTCGGAAACGCTATACAGGGTTTCTATGAGTCAGAACTGACTCCATGGCACACTACCACCACCACCATATACATATGTGTGTGTTTGTGTGTCTGTGTGTCTGTATTTACACATACACATAAAACTTTATATTGAAAATGGGTAGAGTTTACACTTACCGCCGCTTAAAAGTCCACATGTCTTATTTTCAAACTCTCAGATACAAATCTCATGAAATAGTCTTATCTGAGAAATTTAAGTCTAGAGGCTCTCCTGGTCTCAGTTGCCGAGAATTCAAAGCTTCTATTATAAGGAGCTTTGATAGCGTAGTGTTTATGAGTTGGGCTGCTAAGCTTAAGGTCAGCAGTTCAAAACTACCAGCAGCTCCACGTGAGAAAAATGAGGCTTTCTGCTCCCATAAAGATTTACAGCCTCAGAAACCCTATATAAGGTCGGTATGAGTCAAAACAGACTCCACAGCACACCACCACCATTTATCTTGTAAAGGGAAGACTGTTAATTTCTCAAAATATTATCCTGTCACGTTAAATTTCCTATAAACTTTCCTATGTCATTTAGTTGAGTTTGTTTGTATGTGTGTTTATGTGTAACTTTACTGAGACTAGCTATATGGGTCATTAGTAAATGCTGTTTCTAACACACACTTCCTATATATTGTTGGGAGGCCTGGTATGGTGCTATGGGTTGATGCGCTGGACTGCAGGGTTGGTTTGAACTGCAGGGTCGTGGTTCGGGCTCACCAGCTGCTCTTCAGGGTCCCTGTGCAAGGTTGCTGTGGGTCAGGGCTGATTCGATGACACTTAGCAACAACAACAACAATATATGTTGCTGACATCATTCTGTTACTGAATATTAATTTTCATCAACTTAATGGTCACATATTATCCCATTTTTTGAGAAGTCATGGTTTTGGAAAAAAATCTGTATTTTAAACATTTATCTTGTTTCCATTTTTGGTATTATGAATTATGCTTCAATTAACATACTGAATCAAAAGCAAAGGTCATGGCAACAACTTTGGGGAGTGCTCAAGGCATTTTGCTTGTCTTTCTGGAGGGCCAAAGAACAACTCATGAATGCTCCGAGAAAGTTAGCCAATGCTTTAGCATAAAAATGCCTGGGAAAGCTTCACCAGAGTTCTGCTCTACCACAGTGTTCCTACTTATTCCCCTCATCAAACAAGGGCAAGTCCCAATGGGAAATCATTAGTATCCAAAGTGCTGATTTGACTCCTCTGGCTAGTTATTTTCTAATATACCAGTCAAGAGACATAGCTAGTAGATTGGATAAGAAAAGAGGATCCTTCGATGTGCTGTCTGTAAGAGACATATCAGAAAGATGGAGGCAGTCTAAGTGCCCATCAAAACATGAATGGTTAGACGAACTCTGGTACATACACACAATGAAATAATATAAAACAGTGAAGAAGAAGAATGAATTTGTGAAACATCTCACAACATCGTTGAATCTGAAGAACATTTGTTGTTGTTGTTGTTGTTGTTGTTGAGTGTCATCTAGTCAGTTCAGACTCATAGCGACCTGTATAGAGTTTCTGAGGAGCAGCTGGTGGGTTTGGACCTCTGACCTTGCGGTTCAGACCATGCTTGCTGTCCAGTGCATTGTGCCACACCAAGACTCCTGGAGGACATTATGCTGAGTGCAATTAGACAATCGCAAAAGGACAAATATTGTATGAGCTCAATGTTGTACTGATGTGTTGCTATAGGAGGGGCACTGGATCGCAGGGCTGATTTTTTTTTTTCCTTGTTAGGGAAAGCATTTATTTCACCAATAGCTTCCTAGATTGTAGTAATGATTTCAATTGTTTCAGGTGAGCCAGATAACAAGACACTTTATAAATACACTCTCCAAGTTGTAAGTACTGTATTCTGAAAACAGTTATCCAATGGATGTAGAATATTATGATGTAAGTTTTTGACTATTAAATTATAATTATTTTCAAATAAGAGGATATTTAAATTCTAAAGCTATTGTACAAAAAGAAAGTATAGACACTAGAAATAACCTATCAGGTTTTAAAGATTTTAAATAAAAACTGAAGTGTTTCTTCTAAAAATTTAGAGGTTCAGTTCTACTTTCACTTTAAAACTGAGATTGCTATATGTGTGTACTCACCATTCAAAGAAAAAGCTAAGCTATTGCTTATAATGCACCTCATATAGTAACTTATTAGAGTAAGTTACTTAACAAGTAATAAAAATTTGCCTTTAAGACAAGCATCAATTTGTGCTTTTTATTACACTGTAATTAGAGTAATAAATTGATAGCCGTGGTACTGGGTGACTCTTTATCTGTGGTTAATGTCGCTAGACTAAGAAATATGCGTAGTATATATTTTGTCTGATTGCATTTTTTAGAATTTCACTATTTCCAAAGGTATTTTAAAAACAGACCTTCTAAGAGACTATATTCTGTATTTACCACCAGAGAGCAGCACAGAGTTATTAATGTTCTTTTTTTGACTACTAGTGTCTGACAGATGAAAATGGTCAAAACAGAAAAGTATTGAAAAAGAATAAGTATGTCATTGTTCAGAGCTTATATTTTATTTCTGTATTTCCCCAAGATGAGCAGTTATGCACAATAATTATAAATACAACTCTGTATATACATGATTAAAACAATTTTTTTAAATTTTAGTTCATAATAGTTCAATGCATTTATTGTGTTCTGAATACTGTTTTAAGCAAGTCCATAAGTTTCTAATCATAAAATTTGTGTGTGGTAGGTGTATTCATAGAATAGGATCCATGGGCTTATAAGACTTTCCTTATTAGGTGCCTGAATTGAGCAGTTGTTAGTGTTATTTTCAAATGCATATAAATGCTTTAGGAGTCTTAGTGCTTGGGGTTAAGCATTGTGCTGCTAACCATAAGGTGAGTGGTTCAATCCTACCACCCACTCTGAGGGAGAAAGATGAAGCTGTCTGTTCCCATAAAGCTTTAAAGTCTGGGAAACCCTAAGGAGTAGTTTTACTCTTTCTTATAAGGTTGCTCTAAATCAGATTCAATTCGACAGCAGTAGTTTGGGGTTATGAATGCTTTAACTTCGGTAATTTTATTTTAACTTGTAAGGTTTCAGAATTAGCAATGCGGGCATTCTCAATCTTATAACTGTATTGTTGTTAGATGCCATCGAGTCCGTACCAACTCATAGTGACTTTATGTACAACAGAACGAAATACTGCGCGATCCTGTACCAACCTCACTATTGTTGCCACATTTGAGCCCATTGATGCTGCCACTTTGCCAATCCATCTCACTGGGGTTCTTCCTCTTTTTCTCTGACCCTCCACCTTACCAAACATGATTTCCTTCTCCAGCAAATATAGTCCCTCCTGACAATATGTCTGAAGTACAAGGCATGAAGTTTGGCCAGCCTGGCCTCCAAGGAGCACTCTGGTTGCACTTCATCCAACACAGATCAGTTTGTTCTTTTGGCTACCCATGGCACTTTCGATATTCTCTAACACCGTAGCTCAAAAGCATCAATTCTTCTAAGGTCTTCCTTATTCACTGTCCAGCTTTCATATACATATGAGGTTATTGAAAATACCATGGCTTGGATCAGGCGCATCTTATCCCTCAAGCTGACATCTTTGCTCTTCAACACTTTTAAAAGGTCTTGTGCAACAGATTTGCCCAATGCGATAC